CATTCCCGGGCTGCTTCAGTGCCCTCCCCCCCCCCTCCGATTAGCTTTTTTTTTTTTATGCCATCGGCAAGCCAAGCAGAAGTAATTGCTTGAACAGAGTGATATGTCATAACTAATAGTGTGCGATTTCGGGATTTTCTTTTTGTCCTGCAGCAAATACTCACATGGTATCCAGGTGGCTCTTTCAAAAATTCAGTCTCTCTAGGAGCGTCCTTGTTGGCTGAAAGCGCTCTTGAGATTGGTGAGGTGGCGATCACCTGTGTTCTCCTCAGCGCAAATGCAGTAGTATCAGAGAGCTTGGCTGTAAGTTACAGCTTTCTTGGTGTGTTTAGGGTGGCTGCAGGTTCTGTGTCTGTGGTCCATGGGTTTCTTGTATATAGGGGTTTTTATTTTACCATCTTGGATATTGATCGTGGTGTCCAAAAAGGAAATGCTGGTGTTACTGCTCAAGCAATAGTCTCGTGAAGGGGTGATGATTATTGAATTTTTGGTGGAAATCAGTTGGAGACGGCAGGGTTTTCTTCCAAATGAAGATGTCATGTGTATATATCTTTGGTATAGCAAGGGTTTAATGGTGCAATTCTTGAGGAATTCTTCTAGGCTGGCATATTGTGGGGCTGTTTTGGTGCCCATAGTATTACCAGATTTGCTTGTCACTTTAGGGTGCACTCATTTATTGGGGGTACATTTCTGGGGTCTCTAACTCTATCAATGTGCTGCTTGCGTCACTTGTGGTGTTACATGGAGCTGTAGCTTTTGCTTCTGCTAGTCCTCACCCCCAGTGGCGCTATCTTGCAGGATTTGGTTTCAAGAGGGCTGGGTTCCTCCAGCCACCAAATCAGTCAAATGCATATGCCTGTGCGCACACTGCCTAACAGGGCATGCCTGAGCTAGCCCAGATTCATCAGCATTGGTGGGCTAACATCTTCATGCCTTGGACTCAGTTCATCAGAGCAGCAATAAGATGCAGTTGGACATGAGCACACAAGTTAACAGAGCGCATCTGAGTTGGGCCAGGATAGTTGGCATTGACAGGCTGACACCCTCATGTGCTGTGAACTCAGTTCATCCCTTTATTTGAGCAGGACAATAATAAATGCAGTTAGACATGCATGCTAACAGTATGTCTGAGCAGGCTGGGTCTGATCAGCACTTTCAGCTGACTACCCTCATGAGCCTCAACTCGGCATGTCACAATCTCTTCATACAATGGTCCTAGTAGTAACTCCCTTGATTGAGCAGACCCCACCATAGTTTTGGGCATTACAGGGACCTTTTGGCTTGGGTAAAAGAAGCATTGCTGCAGAGTAAATGGGGAGGTCAAGGGGAAGGAAGAGTAAGTGAGGATCAGAGGGAGTATAGCAACAAGCTTGACCATAAGTTATTTATTGCCAGGTACATGAACTTATAATGATACCAGTAGTGATGGCCATAGAAGAGAGACAAATAAAACAATTACAATATGACATGGTTTCAACTAGGTATTTGGGAAAGTCTAGCTCAAGTTTGATCAGCAAAAGTCTGGTTTAGAAAGCTGTGCCTGGAGTAAGAAAGCACAAATCACCCCCCCCCCCCCCCCCCCCAAACTCTCTCAACAAAGCCTGAACCAGTTGAGGTTCCCAGGTGTCTGTTGAAGCTTGCAAATGGGCAGAGCCCTCAGAACAATCAGTGGAAGGATTCCAGGCAGAAAAGGAGTGGAACTGTTGCAGCTTTTGGATCCAGGCACCAAGACAGAAACTTGACCTTTGGACAGGAGTTTTGTAGAGAATGAACGGCTCAAGGGAGAACACTGGGTTTGTTTATGGGTAAATGATGGCTCATATGCTGAATAATGGGAACTGATCACTTCTGGCTATGGGTGGCATTATTCTGAGGGAGCTTGCAATACAGACAGGCAGATTTAGTTTTTGGGGAACCAATAAAGGAGTCATTACTAGAATCGGTCTAATAAAGGCTGAGCTGGATGTATGTAGATATGGGTTGATTAGCATTTGGAGCAGAGATCCCCTATCATGCAGTGCTTCTCTGGTCTCAGAATTCAGTGCGGTCCTTGCCTTGGAATCTGTTCTTCATCCTGAATGCTAATGAAGGTGCTTCCCTGTCTTATTTCCCATGTAAATGAGTTGTCATCTAGTTCCATCTCTGATGTAAATGAGACCAGGGGAGTTGCTTCACTCCTATCACCCTTGTCTGGAGGGTTTTAGGTGCATCTGCCATTTCATCTTCATTGTCTTTTTGTAAGTCCTTCCTCTAATCTGTTCAGGCAGAGGTGGGGAGGGGATGAGTCTTTGGTGAGTCGGACAGGCTGTGTACTGTGCCAGGGTTCCCCAAGAACACATTGCTGAGAGGTAGCCGTAACTGTGCCCCTGGTCTGGAAGAAGTGTTGGTTGTTGAAAATGAAGCTGTTGTATACAAGTTCAGTGATTATCCTGTGGCTTTTACTCTGAGCTGTAATGTTGGTTTGTTGTAGGTATGTGAGGCAGGCTTGGATGCCATCCTGGTGTGGGATGTTGGCGCACAAGCTAGTGACATCCACAGTGGCTAGAAGGGTATCGCTGGGAAGGTGGTCTGTTTTTGCAGGAAGTCCGTTCTGTCTTGGATGAAACTCTGTCTTTTGGGTGATGAGCAGGTTTAAGATTGATTCAATGAAACCTGATATTCTGTTAGGGTTCCATAGTTTGAAATGATAGGTTTGTCGGGGTTTCGTTGTTTGTAGATTTTTAAGGAGTGTTGGTATGAAACTCATTCAAGCCCTACGTTTCTGTGGGCAAGGAGAACTCTGAGATTAACCACTGGCACTCATCCAGCAAACGGTCAGAAGCTTTATTAACTACAAAATATCTACTAAGCACAAAGCAATTAATCAACTAGGGTTGCTAGGATACAGGTAATCAACTTTACTGGGACTGCCAGAATATAAGCAGACGGTTACCAAAGACTCTTCACTGCTTCAGTCTGTCTAGAGCTGTTACTCGGGAGGTACTCACCACAGTTGGCTGTACTGGGTGAGCTTCCTGGGTTATGCTGTTGTTCCAAGTCTGAAGGCTTGGTCCTTCTTTAGCAATCCATGCAGGTGACTCCCTCAGAAATCCATGCAGGCAATTCAGATAGCATGCAGCAAACACTAACTTTACTTGGGCTATTTAATCCTTTAATGATATCACAATCATCAGTGCTAGCCAAGCTTGTTATATAATACTTTGGCTTACAGTTTCCAAGAATACAATAGCACATGCTTACACACTGAGACTATCATTTTCTTGTTTTTCTATTCCTGCATTTATTAGTGCCAAAAATTACTACATTATCTTCTTAATTTATGATTCTGTTGTTCTGAATGTTCCATGTTCCCTGGCACTTTACTGGGGTTAACTTTAGGCCTCAATCGCTGCCAATTCCGAGTCATCTTGGAAAAGCTTCTGAGAATTTGATCAACTTGACATGACAAGATTTGATTTTCCTTGCAACAAGGAGCAGGTGAAAAGTCCCTGGATTGGGTAGTGGAGGGATCAGGGTCTGAAGTTCTCCTTGTAATTCTGAAGGAGGAGATGCAGTGATGGTTTTGAGGAGGTAAAGGGGGGGGTTGGCCTTCCTCTGGGGCGGGAGGGGGTGGTAGATAGTGTCAGAGTTGTCTGAGTTCTTTTAGTTAGTCTTCCCAGTTAAAGGAGGACCTATAGTTATCTTTATCAGCTGGTTTTAGCTGGTGGTTGTATCTTATAAGGTATCATTTCTGAGCCATAGAATCTCTTAGACCAACTAAGAAATTGCCAAAAAAAAAAAAACTTTCTACAGGTATCCGGGTTGTAGCCAGAAACCTGAGACCTTGAACCAAGGCAGGAGCAGTGTAATCTGCGTCATAACAGAGCCTCATAAGAGAGCTGAGAGACTCCTTACCAGCTAAGAACTGCCTGCCCAGAGAAGTTTTCCATCTATTGACTCTTCTGTGAAATCCTACAAAATATGAACTTTCATTTCTACCCAGAAGAACTTTTACAAACTTTTCTCCAATACCTGAGGAAGGGTGTCTGTGCCCACAAGCTTGCAATTAAAGAATTTTTTTGCAAAATCTTCTTAGTCTAATAAAAGATATCACCTTTACCATGAACCCTGATTTAGCTTTTTTTCAGTAAGCTTTTGGGCTCTCATGCCCTTCATCAGGCTCAGGGAAAACTTAAAGATGGTAAAAAGTCCCCATAGGTAGGAAATAAACTTCATTTCAGCACAGAAGAAGCTGAAGATGGGAGAAGTTTGTGCTTCTGGGTCCATGAGTGTCTTTTGTGAGTTGCTCTCTGTTGTGCCTATCAGGTACGATTCTGTCCCTGGTGGTGTCAGATGGCAAGCAGGGAAGTGTAGAAATCTTTCTTGTTCAGTAACGAAGTTTTAAAATCCAAAATAATCTCAGATACGGTTCTTCTAAAGCAGGGGTAGGCAACCTCTTTGCTGGAACAACCCACCTCGGGTCAGGGGCAGGCAAGGTCTAGAAGCTGGCTACAACAGCCACTTCTCCCCATGGCAGCACAAGGAGAGAGTTTTGCAGCTGGCACTTGTCCGTGCAGTGGCAAGCACTCCGCCACCAAATGCTGCCAAAGCTCCATGCTTGTGGACTGGATCCAATGGGTCCTTGGGCCATAGGTTGCTGACCACTGTTCTAAAGATACAATGTACTTTAAGAAACCTGCTGACTTACCATTGTTGGTCTAGATGGAGTAAAATAGAACTGCAGGGTCTTGGCCCACATTAGATATGCTGAGGTGATCGTGGTTAATACACCCAAGATGGCTACCCAGGACCCAACCTGTATATGGAAGATCTACTGCTTTCAACAACAAGAGTTAATGCCCGAAAACCTGAGACCTTTAGAGGATGCCCTGAGAGAGATTAAGTGTAGTTACCCTGGTAGTTATACCTAGGAACATGGGTGTGTTCCTCCTTTTTCACCATTGAATATTAATACTACAAAATATTGAAAATATTTTTCTAGGGAACTTAAACTTAACTTGCCTTTGAGTTAAAGCTGCTTGAAAAATCAATCGATAAACTTCCTTCCTTTTACAAATTCTTTGTCTCCTTATCTTCAAATGCTTTCAGGGACGGGGAGAAGAAAGATGAATTTAACAATGCTGTAGCTGAGCAATGTTTTTAAAAATAAATAAATAAAAAATAAACTTTGAACTGGGAAACAAACTGACCTTTTGTTTTAACTGAGGAAGATGGACTTGGAACAGACCCTTATGTCACTGGAGTCTGAACTGTTGCTTTCACAGGCAATCATTTCATAATCCCATGCAGACAAGGTTCCTTGGGTGAATTTGATATCTTTTATTAGACCAACCCAAATGGTTGGAGAATAGTTTATTAAGCAAGCTTTCGGGTTCAAAAACCCTTCGTCAGGCTCAGGAAGCTGCAGCGGTTGGTGTGTGCTCTTCCTGGATGGAATGAAAAGTAAAGAAGCCAGGGGCTGGGCTGGGCTGGGGAGTCAGTTGCCAGGCAGATTATAATGTATCAAAAATCCAATGTCTATGTTTAGTCCCTGATCTCTAGTATCCAGCAGGTTGATGAAATGGAGCTCATAGGCTCGTCTCTGGGAAGTGTTGTGTAAGTTTCCCTTGAGGATCAGGACTGAGAGGTTGGAGAGAGAGTGGCCCTCCTGTGAGAAATGTGCCCCCACCGGCTTACATTGATATGAGGCTCCAGAAGACCACAATGTGAAATAATCTCTTGACCACAATCAGCCTCCTCATTCTATAGAGACATTACTAGTCAGCTCTTCTTCACAATCAGCCTGAAATAACAAACTGCTTGCTACTTTTTTAAATTCCCTTTTTTAAGATCAGAACAAGTGTAGCACAGTGGGTTTACAAGACTCATTGTACCAAATTAACACCTTTTTGCCTAGCGTAGGAGTCATATAATCCATCAAAATACCACTTATGCTGAAATGCATATAAAAATAAAGTTAAATCAGAAAATATGACCACTCCATCTACTTATTTAAACATTTTATATGCCCATCTCACTAAAAACAACCATTTGGGTTGGTCTAATAAAAGATATCAAATTCACCCAAGGAACCTTGTCTGCCTATATCCTTAGACCAACACGGCTACAACCTAAACCCCTGCATAATCCCATGCATACATTTGTTGAGCTGGCATTTTAAAATTACTTCATAGTACTTGGAGTTGGAAGGGACCTAAACAGGTCATCAGGTCTGACCCCCTGCCCCAGGCAGGAATGGGTGCCGGGGGCTTGTATCATCCCAGCCAAATATCTGTCCAGCCTCCTCTTGAAGACCCCCAAGGTAGGAGAGAGTACCATCTCTTTTGGGAGCCCATTCCAGAGCCTGGCAGCCCTAGCCGGGTGCATTTGTAAATGGCCATCAGGTCCCCTCTCAGCCTTCTCTTGTGGAGGCTGAATAGGTTCAGGCCCCTTAGCCTCTCTTTTTGTAGGGCCTGCCCTGCTGCCCCTTGACTCTGCAAGTAGCTCCTCTGGACCCTCTCAATGCTAGCCACATCCCTCTTGAAGTATGGCACCTAGACCTGGACACAGTACTCCAACTGTGGCCTGACCAATGCTGCATAGAGGGGAAGGATCACCTCCCTGGACCTGTTTGTGATGCATCTGTAGATGCACAACAAGGTGCGGTTAGTCTTACTGACTGCTTCCTTGCATTAGCAGCTCATGTTCATCCTGGAGTCAACAATGACTCCAAGATCTCTTTCAACTATTGTGTTGTTGAGAAGGGTGTTCCCCAGCCTATAGGTGTGTTGCTGGTTCCTTCTCCCTAGATGCAGCACCTTGCACTTGTCTATGTTAAATTCCATCCTATTCTCATCCACCCACCTCTGTAATTTGTCTAGATCCAGCACGCCCCACAACTTGGTGTTTTCAGCGAATTTGGACAGCATGCATTCTACGCCCACATCCAGATAACTGACAAAGATGTTGAACAGTACAGCCCTGGGGGACCCCACTGCCCACATCCCTCCAGGTTGAAAAAGACCCATTTACCACCACTCTTTGGGTGTGACCATCTAGCCAATTTGCCACCCATCTTACTGTGTAGGCATCAATGCCAGAGTCACCAAGGTGTTCTTCTTTTAAAGAAAATGTGGTGGGGAAACTATGTCAAAGGCCTTCTTAAAGTCTGGGAAGACATCGTCTACCCCAGCACCCTCATCCAGGGACTTTGTGACCTGATCATAAAAATAAACCAGGTTAGTTAGTCAGGACCTGCCCTCAATGAACCCATGTTGGCTGCCCCTGAGCATTACCTCCCCGGTGGGCCCTTGGAGATGTGCTCCTTGATAATTTTCTCAAAGGTCTTCCCAAGGACTGAGGTAAAACTTGACTGGTAGTCACTGAAAACTTATGATTTCATATGTGCAACTGTTCAGAGGAACTAATTACTACTTAATTAACCCTAAAGTATAGTATGCCTGGTACTTCATTGAATGCAGAGTATATTACAATCTAGGTATGCAAAAACAAAAATGTGCAGAAGGGATACAATATACAAGCATAGTTAGGTAAAGTAAGGTGCATCTTTTTAGTTTAAAGACTTGTAAACTGAGAAGCAAACTCATGGGGTTTCCCAGGGGGTCAGATCTTGATGCAGTGGTGGCTGGGGTTACTTGAGCCTGAGAACAGCAATCTTCTTCCAGCTGCTTTGTTGCCATTAGCTCCCTAGTATGTTTTAAATAGGAGGCAGTGCTTGAGAGCATCATCATTAAAGTTTTCAACAAGGTGAGACTAAAATCTGTGCCATTTTACACACCAGTTATCTACAGCACTTTTAAAATTTAACTTGGCTAGCTATGTTTTTTTTTTATCTGACCAAATCACATTATAGTAAGATAAATGCACTTGTTGAAAATCTAATTTTATGATAGAGTATAAAATTGGCTATTGAAACCTGATCCTGCAGTCTGTACCATCAGTGAAGCTACCCATGATAAATTTTAAGCATGTGCTTATATACCCTGCTGACTTCTGCAAGAATAAGTTCTATAAAAACATGTTGTATACCTGCTGACTCCTGGAAGTATAAGGATTGCAAATGTGAGCTTAAAATCCATTTCCCAATGAAATAACTCTAGCTGACTAACTTAATTTCTTTTTTTCTCTTTTTATTCTAGAGCACTCATCTTTCCTTTCTTGATTCGTGGAGGAAAGCCAACACCACTCATAATTTTTTTACTAGCATTTATTTTTTGTCTCTTGAATGGGTATTTACAAGGTCGGAGCTTAAGTAATTATGCAGAATACCCTTCTGACTGGTTGAAACATCCTTGTTTCATTGTAGGTAAGTTAAATAAAAACATTCTGTGAAAACTGAAAGCAAAGTTGATTCTCAGACTTTTTTTGAGGTAAGGGTTTTTTGATCTCTTACTGGACACGGTGTATAGTTATAAGAGCTAATGGTCAAGCTTTTGGGCATTGGGTACCCTTCCTCAGGTTACCTGATGCTCAAAATCTTGTCCAGCAGCTCTCCCAACTATACAGTTCGTCTAAAATAATTACTCATTATAATATTGGGCACAACTGCAACCTTCCTGGATGTACTTGTCTGTGCTGGTCTTTCACCAGGATCCATAGTATTTGGTACTAGAATGGTGACTTTGTTGGGAAAACTTAGGAACATCTCTGAGAGAAGATTAAAGCATGATTTTCTGGCAGGATTCTCTGCATTGATTGCCTCAGTGTCTTAGAGTTTATTTGGTCAATTCAGCTTAACACCATGGAAAGAAGAAAATTCACATATATTAAATATTTCATTCAACTGGAAACTTCTGATCACAGTAAAGTACTGTCTTTGAGCATCTAGCCATAATCCTACAATGAGCCCTGTGCAAGTAGAACTCTGTGCCCAGACAGGCCTGCTTTTTCTTGTGGGGTTTTCTCTCTCATTTAGTCTAGAAGCGAGTCCCAGAGTGGGTCCTAGACTTGATGGAAATGCAGGCATATTTCTTTCCTCTTATGTTGTTTGTTTTATTGCTGTTTAATAGTTAGATAAACCACACTTTGTTCTGTCAAAATTGCTGTTACCAATCCAGAATTAGTGTTCCTGCCTTAATTATTTTTCTCCAGGATTTGCAGGATGGTTGATTGGTATGGTAATCAATATTCATTCTGACCACATTCTTAGAAGTCTGAGAGAACCAGGGGAAACTGGCTACAAAATACCAAAAGGTGAGTAAAATGCTGTAGACACTTTTAAAATTGTAAAGGAATACTTGAGGAAACATGATTCTCCTTTTATATGAGATTTCCATTACAGCCCTCAGCAAATAACATTGAGATTACAAAACCAGAGGCAAGGAGTTGGTTTCAAGTATAGTCCAGAAACAAAGAGGTTAGCTCTATCCCCCAAAGTTAGGAGAATTTTTTTTTTTTTTATCATTAGTCAGCTAATGCCTTTCCTGTTTCAGTATGAGTTTCAGGGAGCAGAGGACTCTTATAAACTCTAATCCTCAAAGCCTGTTGACATTTGTTGCTTTACTGTGTTTTGTTTTCCTGAGACATCGATTTGTTCCAGGCATTACTGTTCCTTACTGTGCCTATGCCTTGCTGTGTTCTCTCAATCCTTTGACAATTGATTGATTCCTTATCCTCTTAGGTAAGGAACTACCCTACTTGTGATTTTGCTTTTTTTTTTTTTGTGAACGATGACTAGTTTCTGTGACCCCTGCCACAAAGTGAATGCAAAAATGATGCCACATGCTACAAGTGGCCCACTACTTTTTGTTTCCCTCAGCACAATTTAGGTAGATCCCTACTCTTAGGAATACTCAAGGCGAGCCTTGTCCCTGAATTTTGCTATCACTCTTACCTTTCCCTCTGGCTTTCAGTCTTAGTTTTAATGTGTATTTTCATAGAGAAATAGTGTAGATAGTCAAAATGCTTGACACACTTCTCTGAGAAGGCTCTCTCTTTAATCTTGACAAACCTGACCCAAAGCATCCAGGCCACAAGAGGTAAATGCTTGCTCTGCAGTGATCAGCACTGGAGGTTTTTTGGAGGAACTGAATAATTACTTGCCACACAAGTAAAAGAATGCTGGTTATTTTAAGTGCGTTTAAATCATTGGTGCTTAGCTTTTTGGCCCCATGAGCCAGATAAGTGGCACAGGGCTAGTCTACTAGCTAGATCTGTGAAGTTGGGGCCCAGATTGGGTCCTGTGCACCTGGATCCAGCCTTGTGCCATCAGGATCCCACCTCCTGCTGCCCTGTCCTGCCACCACCTTAATCTAGCATGCGGAACCATGCTCTCTTGTCTACAGGGCTCCTTACCAGTCTGGAATTTTGGCAGCAGGGGAGTGGCAATTAATGCTGCCCCCCTCCACCACCAAATTTTCAAACCTGTGGGAAATCTGGTAGACAGAAGATAATGGCCCATAGGCTGGATCTGGCCCATGGACTGGGGCTTGTTTAAATCACGGGTGCTCAATCTACAGTTTTAAACACAAGTTAAGGCTTGTGTCTTGTGCTCACTGTTCTGTTTCTGTTGCTTAATGTTTTGAATTTTGTTATGCAATATAAAAATGTTTTCACTGTAGCACTTGCTCATCTGAAAAGTCTTATTGAATGCTGTGAGGCTATATGAGATATGGTCTCCATGAATAAGTGTGCTGGAGCTGACTCCAATGTTTTTTTGGGTTTAACTTGTATATAAAGTTCTCAACAGGGTAGCATTAATTCTAGACAGACATACTTGGTTGTGGAAACACAACTTAGAGCCTTAGAATACTTTGCCTCTTGAGTAAGTGGCAATGTTGAAGCAGTAAAGATGGTTGTTTTTTGTTTTGTTTTGTTTTTTAATTTTTCTTGGGGGGAAAAAAACACTTTAAACAACTAAATACACTTGCTTAAATATTTTTGTCATTCAGATGAATAAAATTTCAGGGCATTTGACATTAATTGTTGAGGTACCTCAGTAGGTTACAGAAATTAAACATGTTAGTCTGACTGAACAGCCTCTTGAAAATGAACATGGCAATGTATGGCAGAGTGGGTTTTTTATTTTTTGCCATTGTTTATAAACAAATAAAATAATCATGGTTTAGATTTAAGTAAGTAATCCTGGTTCTTGTGCCTTTCACACTTTAAAAGTGGTTACTGTCATGTGTACTTGTGGCACTTTTTTTGACAAGATTGGCCAAGAGCTGCAGATTGACCAAGAGGTGCTAGCACAGGGGTGGGCAAAATGTGGGCTGGATGTGGCCTGCCAGGCCATTTTATCTGGCCCGTGGGGCCCCTAAAAAGTTTAAAAAATGAATATGTATCTGCTCCTGGCTGCCTGCCATGCAGCCCTCGATAGCTTGCCAAAACTCAGTAAGTGGCCCTCTGCCCAAAATAATTGCCCGCCCCTGTGCTAGCAGCAGGTACTTGTACCAAAACTCTTAATTGTGTATGTAGAGAATTTGAGTGACTTATGCATGCAATCACTGAACTAAACATAATGGAGCTGTTTTCCTTTGTACATTGTCTCCCTTATACAAAAAACACTGCTAGGGAAAATAAGAACAATTTCTGGAAAATGAACTATGAACCTAATTCCCTTCCTTGCCCATCTGCAGTAAGAATAAGAGACGACAATAAAATGGTGGTAGTTCATGGTTTGAGTTGAACATACAAAGAATCTCATGATCCTTTTGATACAAGATAGGCAAGAAAATGATACTCCACTTCTATCACACACCCTCAAATAAGATGCAAGACAGAATGAAGATTTTTTTTTTTTTTTCCAGACTTATGGCTTCCTAGAGCAATAGAGCTTAAGCTTCAACTCATTTACCCATACTCAGCCAGAAGTTCAAACTGTAGCTGCTGCTGAAGACTGATCTCCATGGCCAGATCTAAGAATTTGTAGAGCTAAAAACAGCCTACAAGACTAGAACAGGAGAGTACCCAGGAGTAACTAAAAGAGCAATATTGCCAGAATAAAAATATCTTAATTAGTGGAACATCAAGGAGTTGATTGTTAACACCTTGAGTTAAGTAAAAAAAACAAGGAGGCATTAAGTTAGTTGGTCCTCCTACCCCACTTGGCTCCATGAACAGATATACTAGTGCTGCTGGAGCAGGAATCAAAGCCATGTGCCTTTTATTCCAGGCAAAAATCAGCAGTCCCACTTAAGATGCACCAGTCAGTTTTGGGGGATTGATTTCTTTTAGGGAAAAGGTATATGTGGTATGTGGGTAAATAAGTAGTTTGTCTTGCTAGTTGCTCACAGAAATTGCTTTGTATTTTGCAAGCTTTTTTTTGTAAGCTTTACATGGTAAATCAGTCTGAGCTGTAGAGCAGTTCAGTCTTTCGCATCTTAATTGTTCTCAATTAAAAATTAGTAGCCTGACAAATATATCATAAATCAATCATGTCAGTACAGTTGATTTTTATAGATCATTTTGGTACTGCTGTGTTTAGTGCCACTGTTTAATAAAATACATGTACTCATTAACATTAGAGGAAAAAACTAGAGCCCTTTCTCTTATATAGTACAGGCAGTCCTTGACTTATGTTTCAAGTTGCAACATTTCACACTTGCGACACTTATAAATTGACACCTTGTTTCAACTTTATGACATCAGCTTCAACTTACAACACTTGATCTGATGCAATGCCATGCCAGGAATCAAGTTTGCTGTGTCACTCATCTCCCTGGAGAACATCTGTCCAAATTTGCTTGGACACTTTCTTTCAGAAAGCAGGCAAGACTCCAGAAAAACTTGTAGCCAAGACTCCTGAGAAGACTCCAGCCAAGAGCCCTTCAAAAAGTCCAGTGAAGTCTCCTCAAAGAAGTCCTTCCAAATCAATATGATTGCTATTTATGATTAATACATTAATGTAACTCATCTATAACTGATAGAGTACAAAATTTGGGGTATTTCTGGTGAGAATAGGGTATTGGGCCTTGGTTCAGGAACCAATCCCCCATTTATAACATTGTTTCTTATGAGAAAATTGGTTCTGAGTTATGTTTCAACTTACAATTGGTTCCTGAAAACTGCGTCTTGTCGTAAGTCCGAGGACTGCCTGTAATTTTCTTAATATGAAAAAAGGCTTTAAGGTAATTGCAAACTGTCTTTCATGAAGGAACTATTTTTCTGCTTACAATAGCAGATATTGCAACTGCTTTTCTACAGTGTGTTAATAGAATAAATGTGTTGTTCCTTAGGAGGAATGTTTGAATATGTTACTGGAGCCAATTTTTTTGGCGAGATCCTCGAGTGGTTTGGATTTGCTTTGGCCTGCTGCACCATTGAAAGTGCTGGTTTTGCTATGTGCGCACTCTTCATTCTAGCTTCCCGGGCAAGGCAGCACCATGAGTAAGCTTCCAAAATTACAGAAGTTCTTTTTCCTTTTCTTCTAAATCATCTGTAACTTAAGAAATTATTGGGTATTAAACAGGGATATAGGGGTTTGTATGTGTCTGACCCCTGAGACACTTATTGATTTTGAAATATTCTTCAAGGCTGCTTGCTTTTGCCTTTAAAACAAAGAACTTTATTTATTTTTTTTTAAACTCAGTACACTCCAGTGCCAAGCCCAGCACATGCCCAGAAGAGGCAGTGTGTTAGTTGAACCTGGCTTGCCTGTCTGTATAGATCGGGTGCTTTGGTGGGGCTTTTTGGTGCTTTTATCTAATAGCTGTTTGACTTGCCTCTTAGATAAAACCACCAAAAAGCCCTGCTAAAGCACCTGATCTATACAGGCACCTGTGGAACTGAGTTGAAGTAATGTGCTGCTGCTTCCAGTAAACCATGTGTTTTTCTTTCTGTTTCTCTTTAACATCTGCAAGCACCCCAAGTTAGTAACTCCTGTTGGTAAATCCTGGTTACTTGAAACTTGCTTTAGGTGAATTAACTGCAAAAATGAATTAGGCAAGTTAAACACTATTTATTATTTATTTAAGTAAATGCCAGGAAGGGAGAATTTTCCCTTTTAAATTCCATTTCTGGGCTACTCTAGGTTGGAAGAGCTCACGTGAATTGAACCACCAAATTTTTTACAAAGCAAGTAAAAAAAACATCTGATTGTCAAGTTGCCAGTTTAAAAGAGGTATGGAATAAGGTTGTGTTTTATACCTTTCCTTCCTCCCTCATAAACTGCTGTATAAAATCTTCTGAGGGACTATAGAGAATAGTTGGGGGATAAAAGCTCCTAACCTAGCAATAGCTAACTCTGAACGATTGCTCAAATTACTCAAAGTGGATACTAGAGATCATGGACTAAACATAGACATTGGATTTTTGATACATTATAATCTGCCTGGCAACTGACTCCCCAGCCCAGCCCCTGGCTTCTTTACTTTTCATTCCATCCAGGAAGAGCACACACCAACTGCTGAAACCTCCTTAGCCTGACGAAGGGTTTTTGAACCCGAAAGCTTGCTTAATAACTTTTCTCTAACTATTTGGGTTAGTCTAATAAAAGATATCAAATTCACCCAAGGAACCTTTTCTGTCAAAGTGGACGAGGCACTAGGTAATTTGTAAAAGTCACCCCTCTGATTATCTGTTATGGTCCTGAAATGCTTCTATAGGAGAAACTTCAATAAATCTTTCCAAATCAGTCTGAAAACAGCTGCTGTTGCAGTAGTACATAATCTAAATTGTGTAGTACACAGGTGTTAGATGGAGCCCTCTCACCCAGCCTGCAATGCTGCCTGTGGGTCTCTGACCAGCCTGCCATGTACAGCACCCTCTGGCACCAGCCCCACATGCTGAATATGGTGCATAGAGCCTGTCTGGCATGGGCTGCATCTGATGGAGCCTGTCTGGGATGTGCACTGCATACAGCACATGTGTTGCCTTCCCTCTGGGGGCCTGTCTAGGGCATGCACTGCATGTGGCAACCATACCAGACTAGCCCTGCACACTGGATCTATTTGGGGCCAGTCCAGGTTGGGCCCATGGAGTGGCCCCATGTACCAGACCTAGTGTGCAGGGCTGGTCTGGTATGGGTGTCACATGGCACAGGGGGTGTCTGAGATGCATGCTATGTCCTGGGCCAGTGTATGCTGTATGCAGCATGCATGCAGCATCCATGCTGGAGCAGCACTACATGCTGGATCCGACACACAAGGACAGCCTGTGGGCCCAATCCAGCCTACTGGACAGCCCCTGCATTCCCTCATCCCACCCCTTTGACACCAAATAACTTGCTCAAGGAAAGGATTTTTCATTTTCCTTCTATATCACGCTTTTGACACCTTTTCTTTGATACAAAAAGGAGAATGCACAATCCTTGCCAGTTCCTATTTGAAAGTTACATTTACCTACAGAAACTGGTGAAAATTGAATAGACTGAGGAAAAAGAAAAGAGAAATTCACCAATGGCAAATGGAGAAAGTGTGGTGTGGAGGGTAGAGAATGTTATGCAAAAAGTCTTCTAGGAAGATAGAGTATGACCTTGGAACACTTGGCATTCCTTGGCATAAAATCAGTTTCTCTGTTGCTTTTTGGAGTTAGTTATGCTTTGGTCATGCAGTCAGGTTGCTAATGTCAACCCCACAGTTACCTGTGAAGATCCCAGATTGTTAGATCCTATTTGCTAGGTTTATTTCAAATACTGTAACTGGGTTTATATAAAAATGTGGGAAACAC